CATCCCAATAAATAAATGTAGTTATTAGTCTTCATCAAATCTTCTTTCTCTTCTTCTTCGGGTCCAACATATATAGATGCTCATTGCAGCAAGCAGCAATAGCATCATATAGTATCAATACTCATGGCTATGACGGCATCTTGATTATTTAAATTTAAAGATGGATGACAGACATGTTATAAAAGATTGAATTAATCACGATTAGGTCCTTAATAATTTTTTTTAAATGAGAAATATTTATCCAAATAATTATAAATTTAGGAGTTTCAATTATAAATAAGATATTTACATTTCCATTGTAACTATAAAAAATTGTATATGAGATTTGTGTTGTTTGAAATAATTTTCTAAATTGATATTTGCAACTTAGTTTTTGTCAAAGGCATATATCTCATTAATTAAATGTTTTAGGACCTAATTATCATTCTCTTTAAATTTAATTAATTTGACCAACTTGGATTCATATTAAAAGTTTTATTTCACAGTTTTTTTGGTGAAAAAATGGTGGTTGAAAAGTACCACTACAATAGATATGGCCATAGAGGATGATTATTTTGCTCAATAGTGGACAGTTACCATTCATGCTCATTGAACCATCATGTATTACAAAAGCAATCATCCAATATTGAACCGTCCTATATAGTGCAACATATAAGATGGTTGAGTATCAACCGTCCTATATGAGGTTCGAGATTTCGACCAAATCTGGAATCTCTAAGGCCATATAGAACTAACAACAAATTTAAAAGTGATCGAATAGCACATAAAAAGAGACAAAATGGTTAGTTAAGTCAAGTACAGACAAACACATAGAGTATGCCGAAACATAGAGAACAAATAGAGAAGGAGTTTACAATGAATTGAAGCCAAGAAGCTGCTGTCAAGGACAAACATGAAGCCCTAGAACTCGAAGCCCAAAGGAAGATGAACTCGAAGGGTTAATGGGTTTTGGTTTTGGGTTCCTGGCAAAAATAATGATGATGGGGTTCTAGATCTTTGAGATTAAGGACGAAGGAGAGCAATTACGGTGAAGAGCAGCGAATGAATATGGTCGATGAAGAAGAACTGATCTGATTACAAGGGTTTTTAACTTTAGAGACTATATATTCAAATAAAAACCGTCCTATATGTTAATGCTATAGAGGATGGTTGCTTATGATAACCATCCTTTATGAGTTTTTGTTTTTTTAGAAAAAAAAAATTTTAAAATTCCATAAGCAAATAAAGGACAGTTACACTAGGAAGCGTCCTGTATTGTTGACATATAGGATGGTTGTTCTTACAAACCATTTTATATGAGGCATCCTATATGTGTGTTTTTGCAATAGTGTATCTTTGTCTTTGATTTTAGACTAAAATCTATGTTTAGTCCTTTAATTTTTTTATGAAGTTTCAATTTGATCATTTAATTTTATGAAATTTTTCAATTCTTTAATTCTAATATCATTAATTTTAAATGATTATTTTTTATGTCAATCATTATCATTATTATTTCAAAAAGTCAAACTTAACACGTCAACATTTAACAATAGTTTTGTAAATATTTAAAAATTTTAATGTATAATTTTTTGTTAATAAAGCTAAGTTAGGGTTAAATGAGGCACTTCATAAGAGACCAACATAAAATCTTGTGTAAAATTAAATAATTAAAAGTATCTCTTCCGTTAAAAAATGTAAGGTATTTTTAGAGAGGTTGAATGTAAAAAAATATAAAATATTTTTAAATTTTTTAATATGTAATTATTATCTTTTTTAAAAAGTGTCTTTATTGAATAAATTACTTTATTTTTTTAAAGTGATACCCTATTAAACAAGGTTGATTATGAAAAGATACGGTTCATTTAAAAACAACTAGCTATTTTATTAAGGGTAAGATCTAGTTAAAAATACTATATATTTTTTAAAAAAAGGAGTGCACTTTAACATAGATTTTACATATATATTAAAATATAAAAATTAAAATAACATTGAATTTGCATCACCTAGTTTTACTTCGGACAATCCGATCAAAATTCATAATTCCTTTCTTCTCATTAACTTTTAATATGGGAACCTCTTTATCATCATACATATCATGTATGTATCATTACTACTTCTTTTTCTTGTTTTTTTTATATTACTATTAGTCTTCTATTACTATATAACATAATAATATAAAGCTATTTTTTGGCAATAAAATACAATATATAGATTTTACATGCGTTTGCTTTATGAATCTGTATACGGCTATTACATTCTCTCTCTAGCAACATACTTCCTACGTAAGACAAATACATCAATAAAATGCAAAATATTTGGCAAGATATATATGATATTTACTATAAATTATAAATCTTGAAGGAGAGCGTGCACTTTACTATTATTATTTTTTTAAAAACACTCCATATATTATATTGGAGCCCACGTAAAAATGATAAATATGCATTAGATAGGTGTTTGTTTGACGCATCATAACATTGGAGATGTAACTTTTGTGACTTGTTAAAGAAAGTTTAATATTCAATGCTAAGTTAATTATTAACAAAGAACTATTTTGTATATGAAGCTTTGATTGAAAAATGTGACCACAAATATTTAAAGGAAAAATTTGTCTCCCTCGTCGTATTCTTTTTTCGTTGGACACATATTGCGATGACAATGTGGAAAGAGACGAAGTAATGAGTCCCCTCTTGCTTGGGGCACAAATTTTGGACACGACATTATATATATATATATATATATATATATAATACTAAACGTGTTCAAACGTTAAACTTTCACTTTAAGAAAAAAAAAATAAAAAACAAACATCACAGCGACACGAAGCTAGACATTTTTCTGTTTTGAGTTTCGACTGCTTAGGTGTAATAATCAGTCTGGATACTCTGTCCAGCATTTTCGGCCACGGAATGCGGAAGATAAAGATAAAGTTGTCCGAAGATCTTTTTTAAAATTTTTAATTATTTTAAATATATATGAAATAAGATAAGACTAGAAATAAGGTTGATAAAATGATAAAATCTTTTATTCAGCCAACTTTTTTGGGATCTTTGTCTTAGAAAGATGGGAATGAATTAAAAAGGCGATTCTGGACGATGATTAATACATATTTAATAAGCGCGTCGTTTATTTTTATTATTTTTGTTTTTCTTTATTTTAATGTGAATGACAAATAAATTCCACCCAAATAAAAAATGATAAAGAATATTATGAAATAAGGAATTACCTTGATGTTCTTAGAATTTTATTTGACATAATTTTTTTGTGAAATTATATTGTTGACCCTCTGTAAAATAATTTTTTATTTTTGTTTATTCGTATGAGGTTTATTTATCGTCTCCCCCTTTTAATTTCTCTCTCAAACCTCGATATATGAATGACCATTCAAATTTTATAATAATCCAATAAGCATATGATAACAATGAAAACTTTCACAATCTGATGGTTCAGCTGAATACAAGGAACTCAATTTCTTAAAACAAAATTAAATATTTAAATTTTATAAATAAAAATATTGTGTTGGGAGAGCAGAGATCATTTTTACAAGGTGATTTAACAAAAAAAACACACACACACACACACACACACACAGTGATCACAAAATTAAAGGTGTCTAATAAAATGTGATGGTATTGAACAAATAACAAAATCGTCCACATCATATTTTATCAACTATATTTTTCATAATATATATATATATATATATATCTCCCTTTAATTAGTAAGAGTATGATTGAAAAATATTTTTTTAAATAAATAAACCGACACTTTTCTCCATCTCAAATACCTTATAAAAAAAGATGAGACTGAGTATTGACTTACAAGACTTTTATTCTGAATAAACATGGTTTGTGTCAAACGAATCATCAAAAAATCAAAAGAAGTTATTCCCATGATTGTAAACTTTTTTATAGGAATGGTCAAATTTCATTTTGGGGGAAACGTTCTGTGTCGTACACCGTTGAAATTGAAGTTCATCGGCACAAGGATGCCACTCATTCAAGGTGATTATGAATCATGCTTACATCGTACGTGGACAAAGGAACCTATAACAAAATAAAGCAAAGATGGCATATGTACGGATCATATTTAAAAAAAAAATAAAAGTCAGGAAAAATAAAAAGCTCACTTACTAATAGGTCGTGGTCTAATCTTACAAGCAAAGGAAAGAGAACCTTTAAGGCAAAGACCAGACTAACGTAAGGATGATATTGAAGCTAGAACCTAGAATTTTCCCGGTCTTTTCATTTTCAACATGCAATATATTATTCTCTGCTATCCCAGAGAAGATTACAAGAAAACCACAATAAATATGCTGGAGAGAAACTTAGAATCTGGCTCAAATGAAGCCATCAAAGACCTTGAACTCCCTCCCTCCGTTTTTCATATTAATCTTTGATGTATCGTTCTAATTTTATCAGGGTTAAAAGGCAATTTCACTTTTACATTACAAGTTTAGAAGTGTTTAGAAATTTAAACTTGTTTATGATACTAAGTTTTTCTTCAAATTTTAAAAATGGTGCAATATCATTTATATTATTTTTTGGTAATTTTTTAATCAGTTAACAATTAAAGTTAATATTTATTAACAATAAGGGTTATATTGCGTTATTTTAAAATGTTGAATGAAAATATTATATAAAAAATGAATTTACAATTTAAGATGCTCCTAAACTTATAATTTAAAGATATATTTGCCATTAAAACCTTTTATCAAATATTCCGGAAGAGATTAGTAATGTTTTATATATATATATATATATATATATATAGTTATCTGATCAAGTTAAATTCGAACATTGTTGAACTCAATTGGGTATAACTCTTTTAAAAGCATTTTGTACATTCACTCAAACATGAAATCTCGCATTTAAACAATCACAATCCCTACCAGTAGAACCAATGCCGGTTAGTTGTGATAATTTTTTTGTTGTGTTTTTTTTTTTTTGTTTTACTAGCAAATAATGTACACTCTCCCACGTGTTCATCTGCAAGAGGACAATGTAAATGCATCAGAAAAGTTCGAGAAGATTGCGTCAACAAATCTCATTATGTTAAGGCCATGGCATGAAATGGCCACTGGACAAAGATTCTAAACACAGTAGAACCCAGGCAGAGGCAGTAGCATCCAACAAAACGGTAGCTAGGTTTATTAATGTAGAGCAGCTTAAAAGAATCAGCTCTCAATAAAATTCCACCTCGCACGGTGAGAACTGAGAAGCAGAGTAAATTAAGCAGCTAACATGTAAGATTGTGATGGTAAAGAAATTGTGTGCCTAAAAGCATTTCATGCATTGGAAGCATCAAAATTGCCCTGCCCATTTTGCCGTCTTTTTTCTCTCCAATTCTCTCCCCACATCTTGGCTTCTGCCACTGCACGTTCTCTATCTAGGTCCCGGTTTAACATCCTCGCAGTTTCTCGTGGCGAGTCCTCTTTCTCGGACCCTTCGAGGTCCCATCGGCGTCCGGATCCTCCACTGTCCTCATTTCTGGATATCCTTCCACCTCTTTCATCTCTGTTCCTTTTATCGTCACCCAAAACCCGGTGACCATGCCCGGATGCATTAGGGTCGTATGCCTGGTTGGCCAGATAGGATAGAGCCGTTACCACATCTCCGATCAGTGGCCGTGTGGCAGCCTGTTCTTGGATGCACATTGATGCCACAGCTAATGCCTGGTAAAGACCCCGCATGGGATACCGTCCCTGAAGCCGAGGATCTGCCAATTTTGAAAACTTCCTGCGGTCATTGAACAGTGGACGTGCCTGCCCAAATGTACAAATTAAACTGTCACATTACTTCTATCTATTGTTACACGGACATGAAGTCAATAAACTAAAATGGTAAAAGATTTAGAGAATTACCCATGTAACAAGGTTCTGTTCTCCATGAGGCTGGGTACTGTCGATGGCTTTCCGACCAGTAATCAACTCCAAGAAGACTACCCCGAAACTGTAGACGTCAGACTTCACGGTCAGTTGTCCAGTCATGGCATACTCAGGAGCACAGTAACCATAAGTTCCCATGACTCTGGTGGAAACGTGCGACTTATCACCAACCGGACCAAGCTTCGCAAGACCAAAGTCAGAAAGCTTTGGATGAAATCCTTCATCTAATAATATATTAGATGACTTGAAGTCCCTATAAATAACTGGAGGATTTGCCTTGTCATGCAAGTATTCCAATCCTTTCGCTGCACCGGCTGCAATTCTCATCCTAGTGTTCCAATCAAGTGGTTCCTTATCAGGGGGAAGATCTGCGCACAAGTAATAATACTAATTGAAACCACAACCTCATTGTGTTCATATTTAAAGAATCTATTAGTGTAACAGACACGGCATTTAGTCGCAATCTTATGAAAGTTCAGGAACTCTTCCAGGTCAACAGAAGACAAAGTATGCCTTAAGCTCACAACCTCGCATATCTAGCCATTAATTTAATAGTTGAAAACACGGTACTATATTCAATGATTTGGTCCTGACATGGGACGTTAATCCACATATCATGTTCGGCTTCATCAAAAGAAGGTTTAAGAATGAACTTTACATTGTGGGAAGTTTAATATACCCTTTCTCTCTTTAAGGAGCTTATTCATGGCACTGGAATTTTTCTCCAGTCTTTTTTACTGTTGTTCTAAGAAGATAAGGAACCGGATGCAAATTTAAAAACATAGACCTCTCTTCTTGATATTACAGGATCTGTATGTGTACAATGAGTACTGCCATTCTACCTTATTTTGGCCAAGAAATTCAAGTAACATGCATGTTTCACATCCAGAATTGCCATATTATCTTTGTTTCAAATTCAGTTAACAATTTCCATACACCAAAAGTAAATACTACCAGATGGAACAATTAGAGACAGGACTACAAGAAATGAGACAGACATATCGGATCTAGTCCACGCCTAGAGCAACTTCAAGTTATGGCAACCCTCAAATTTGGTGATTTCCTAATAACTAATATGTCTGGATTGGAGAAGATTGACTTCTTTGATAAAATTAATGGGTACCCATATATCCTTGTTCACTTAAGGATACTAGAAGTTCCAGAAGAAAATGTTTCCGAGTATTTTTGCACTTTAATCAAAAAATAAACCAATAAGCATTGCTAAAACTTTTGTGAAATATGTGATCACTGGTGAACATGCTGTGCCTTGTTAGGAAGAATTTTATAGCATCGAGGTGACTAGCCCAAAACCATTATGAAAGGAAACACAAATGAAAATTCTCTTAATAAGCATAAACTAGGGATAAAAATATTAGAATAGGAAAGAACCTCAACAAAACTGAAATAGCAAAATAGAAACAGCTTTCACGAGCATGAGTTAAGTAGAGAAAATTATAACCAAGATTCAGTAAAAACAACTTGGGTTTGTTTTGCCACACTAGGACACAATCCCACAGATAATTACTCATCATCAATGAGTTCAAATGAAAAATCCTTTGAAAGAGTAAAACCACCAACAGCAGAATTTTGTCATTACTTAAAGTAGCTATGTGAGAAAAGACCCAACATGCAATGCAGAAAATGAAAGTCGATCTACAAGGACTCAACCAAAGTTACCCAGCAAGAACAGTCCATTCATTAACAAAAGATGTTACTCTACAAGAAAAAGTCATGTCTAACTATGTCCTCCCAGATTTTTCAATTACACCCCATGTTCAAAAACAGGTAAACATTTTTTTCGAAGACGTAACATTTTGCAGCATCTAAACTAAATGCTTTGCTCAGAAAGTCTAAACTTCCAATCATTTCCAAAAAACTATCCTCCTTATGAGTTGTAACTGAATAAGGCAACATTGATTCTCATCAGACCATGATTAGTGGAAGCACCTGGGATGTTGAAATATATCTTGAAGAGAATAATGATGCCTGATTTCTTAATATGACAGCAATTTGTCAACTATAACAGAAATTCTAATCATATAATTAAGAGATTGGTGCTAAACAACCATACCATGAAGATGGTCTTCCAATGATCCCAACGGCATAAACTCATACACAAGGAGACGTTGGTCCCCATCAGCACAGTAACCAATAAGATTCACAAGGTTAGGATGATGTAGAAGACTAAGCATGAGAACCTCCACTAGGAATTCTCGATTACCCTGAAGACCATTTCTATCTAATTGTTTAACAGCAACAACCTGTCAAGATAAGAAAAGATGTCAGAATTCACTAGTTGCAAGATGCCTTAGGGACACAAAAACACATTAAACTTGTGATTAATGTTTGCCTTTTTTCTTTGAGAAAATTATTGAATTTCCTTCAAATTAACTTCAATATGAAATAGTTTCCTCTTGTTCTTTTCTGTTTTTTTTTCCCTGGCTGTGGAAAAGCAAAGATAGGAATGTCAAAGGGTAGATATACATTTTCCTATATGACAAACACAATTCAAAGTTTGCAAAGTAGTATGGACATAAAGTCATACAATTTGTACCATGATCTGAAAAATTATGACATTATTAAGCAACCATATCAAATAATCATATGAGCAATACTGTAAGATTGAGAAGAAATTGAGGAAGAGGAGCATCCTTGGGATTGTCTGAGTAAGCAAAATGGAGATACCATCTGACAATAAAACTTATCAAAACTAGGACCCAAAGGGACTAATGCGACCAAACAATCAGTGATTTTTCTCTCAGTTTCTCCTGAGTAAAAACACAACACCATTTTTCCTGATTCTAAAACTCAAGCAAAAATAGAGAGACTGACCTGACCCGTGCTTTCCAAACGTCCTTTATACACCCGTCCAAAACCACCTTCCCCTATAAAGGACTCTGGCCTAAAATTTTGAGTGGCAGCTGCAAGTTCACGGAAAGTGAAAGTTTGGGCAGCAATTTGGACGCCAGGCCCATCCTTAGGAGCAGGCAGTTCCCTTTTGGATCCTCCATTACTACTTCTTGAGCGAAGCTTGTCTGCTCCTGCAAAGGCATCCAAACAAAGAAATGCAGATCCATAAGTATCTAAAACTCCAGAGTCACTCCAAATAAAGGCTGTGAAATCTTGAATTCAATATGATACAAAAGAGTAAGAACTCAACCAGTCTATTCCACTGAGCTACAGTCCTTTCACTTAGTTTATACTTAATTTAGCCATGTCATATATAGATTGAAATCGAATTAAGTTCGAGATACCGAGTAAGTTCTTTGGTTAATCAAAAAGGTGAAATCCTCAATCCCAAATTCCCCAGTACACATTCGAATCAGCGCACAAAATCAGGATATTGAGATCTAAATATTTTCCAAGAAAGAGAAAAAGAACTTTAACAACAGCATCGGAATCGGGTGGTGTCTCTGAGAAAGACTTCATGGAACAAGTAATCAATTCATCCTAAAAGAAATATATCTCAATAACTATGAAGAAAGAGAAAAGGGGAAAACGTGGTCGCCAACATGTCTTTGGGAGGATAGATAAATCATATATAATCAGATCAGATCAAGCAATTAGATAGCAACACAAATTTAAGATAAACGATTGAAGGATATCAATTTATAACACAATCGAACAAAAATCGACTAACTAACCAGACGGCAATCTGGAAATGTGAGAGGAGGCAGCTGGGTGGCCTTGTGTTCGATCATCGGTTTCTTGCCGAGGATTGAGCTGCTCATCCTCCTTCGAATCGAAACACGAAAAACAGCCCATTCTCCGGAACCAAAGCAAAGCTTCACAAATCTATAACCCGGGGGGAAAAACTGTAGCTATTAGTATGTACAGGAAATTATGTCCAATCAAGGGTTCAAACTCCAATCCAACTATGAAGAAAATCGAAGTGGCAGAGTTGTCATCCAGGTTCCGAAATATGAGGGTAGTGCCCCCCTATCCGATCAGGTTGAAGAGAAACAGAATCTGGTCATGGGGCAGAAGCCGAAGATGTCAAAAGACAAAAACGCAGGACTCCAAGTCCAAGAAACGCCAATACTAACGATATACAAGAGAAAGAGGGAGCGGAAAATGAAAAATAGACAATAAATATAACAAGGCTTTGGTGTGGGAGATGTCGATTATTAAATTAACGGTGAGTAAATATCAGATTTTGAAGAAAAAGGGCCTGGGAATCAGCTCCCCTGTGAAGAGTCTCGCATGTCTTTTATTGCTTACTACACATTTATACTCAGACCGCGGACACGCACGCACTTCCTCTCTCTCTCCCACTCCCCCCCCCCCCCCGGGTTGGGACTTGAGTGTTCTGATTTCGACCCAAAATTGCACTTGCAAAATAGGAAGCGGAAAAACCTTTTCTCCGGGCACAAGATATTTAGATGACGATAATATATTGCATTTGCACCAGAGAACAAAAACGAGATCGATCAAAGTTGATGGGGAAAAAGAGAGGAAAATGATAAAAAGACCTAAAGACACGGAGCAAGGTCGCGGCTTTGATTACATTTTACTACGTTGACTTGGGGGTTATTGGGTGTGGATGGGAAGTGACCAATAGGATTGGAATGAGAAATGGGAAGATGCGGCAATTATTGAAAGATGGGGGGTAGAAATAGAAATAAATATGAGTTAGTTGGGGGATATGTGATTGTAAAAATGACATAGTGACGCGTTTCGGTGCATGATTGGCGCACCGTCCCTGCAGCAATTCTGCGGCACATCAGCGCCTTCATGTATTTATTAAAAAAAAAAAAGAAATATCATTCCAAGCATCAAAACATTTTGATCTATCAAATGTAGGATTGTGAGACTAATTTAAAAATAATTTAAAATAAAAAAGATTATAATATTTCTGGTTTATATGTTTTTTCAAAAAGTTTACTCCATAATTGTTGACATTGGCTGCTGGACCATTAAGAAAATACTGTTGACATATATTTAAAGAAAAAAATAAAGGATCTTGAATTCAAATCACCTTATTCACTTTTAATGATTAAATGATTTAATTGGTCACCGGTGCTACAGTTTTGACGACCACCGTCAGTGACCTTGCTCGTGATAGGACTTTTAGGGTTGCTAAAGACCCCTTATCATCGACAAGATTATTGGTAGTGGTTGTTGAAACTTTAGCGTTAGTGATTAATTAAATCATTTAATTATTAAAGGTGGCCAAGGAGATTGAAAACCAAGATCCTTTGTTTTTGAATGATTATTTGTTAACCATAAAACTTCACTTATGACGGTGCTATTTTTAAAATTATTACATTTTTTTTTACACATTATAATCAAGGTCTAAGGTGTATTAATGGTTTAATGGTCATTAATAGTTTGCATGGCCACAGCTCTTGGGTTCAATTCAAACCCTCTTAGCCACTTTTAATGATTAAATAGTTTAATTGGTCAATGTCATTTGAGGTCTGATGGTCGATGACCTAACAGGCAGTGAGGGCCTAGTAGTTAGTGTTGGCAATTGTGTGGTAAATGATTTTTTTAATATATTAAGGGTATAATAACCTTTTTTCATCTAAAATTATTTTTATATTAATCTCCAATTCTACAGTGATATATCAAAATGTTTTGGTCCTTGTTTGTTTTAAAATGCCTCCAACAATCCTTGAATGATATTCTCATCTTTTTGGATTTATTCCTCATATAAATACAGTTTATTATAAAATTCAATTTTTATATCTTAATATTAATAATTAATAATTAAAGAATAGGGTTAAAGTTTAATTTTTCTCTTATACTTATTTTTTAGAAGCACTGGACACCCTGTACTCTTAAATGAGACAATTTTACCATTGAACTATTTTTTGGAAGAGCAAAAATTCCCTTTCGTTAATCAGCCATTAATTTTTTTGTTTTTTGGCTAACGTGACATATGCATGGGACACGTAGCACATGACATGTCTTTTGGTGCTATTTTGCTCCTAAAATATTTTTTTAAGAACGTTAAGCACCCTCAAGTCTTTTTCTCAAAGCATTGGGCACCCTGAAACATTGTTAAAATAAAATTGAATAAATATTAAGTATTTTTAATATTTAATAATTTAAATATTATTGCTTAAAACATTACATCACTAAATTTAATATTTTAATATTTTTGATATTTTGTAATTTTGTATTAAAAATAAAGTAAACGAACCTTCAAGTTAATGAAGAAATTTTTTCTTCTCATCTCTCAATTTTTATTTTGTTAAGTAACTTTTTTTGTAATATATTAGTAAAATAAGTAATATCTTTCAAATAAATATTTTTGTTATTATATTATTGATCTTGATTCATCATGTTTATGATTTTACTATTAACACTATAATATATAGAGAATATTAAATTTGAGTAATGTAATATTTTGGATGAAGATCATTAGTTGACCAAAAAAATTAAGAAACTTAATCAATATTAAAAATGTAAGTAAGTTCTGACATGTACAAATGGTGTAATAATTTGGATATTATATCGGAGAGAAGATCGAAGATTGATAGATAAAAAATAAGAAATCATCTACAAATTTATAAAAATGCTAGCAAAAATAATATTTAAATATAAAAAATATTAAATTGGGTGAACATTACTTTCTCTTTTTCAAAATCATTTATTTTTATAATTTTGATTTTGTTTTGACATAATTGCTATTTGTTATTTGCTATTAATATTCTAAGATTTCAATAGAACATTAATTTTTTTTGTAAAAAATAATTTTAACTCTATTGATTTACAGTTTTATGACAAGGGAAAATATATAAGAAATGATAAAATATAATGCAGTAGTATTTTAATTGAATACACTTAAAATCTTGTAATCAAAATTAATTAATAATTTTATAATTTCAAGTATTTCATTAAATGATAGTAATTATTTTTAAGTGAAGAGAATGTTAAGAAAATAAATTTATGATAATATTTAATAGTAGAGGGAGTCTTTTCCATTAAAAGAAAAGCAAATTCTAATTTCAAAGTGTTTAAAAAGAAAAAGAAAAAGAAAAGAGAAAAAAGAGAAGAGTGCGCAATGACTGATTCCAGCGAGTCAAAGACTTTGACGCGGACTTCACCGTGGAAAATCAGTTTTGTTATGACTATGATTATGATGTATGATTACGTTAAAATTACATAAACGAAGAAATTTAGGAATTGAGCCCATGCTTAATTACTTAATATAATAGTATACTTTCATAAAATTTTAATCTTATATTAATTAGGATAAATTGTAATTTAAGATTAATTATAAGTAAAAATGTTATTAGTAATGAACATTGGGCCTATTGGACTCCTTAGCAGGCTTATAATTAGGCTAGTTAAGGAATTGAGCAACTTGGGCCCAATTGGAGAAAACCATATTTAGAAATTGTCGCTTTGTGTTATCCGCTATGATACATGACATGATTCGCTATGGTATATAGTCAGAAACTTGATTTATCATGTTTGTGAGGTCAAGTAGAATAGAAAGAAAGAAAAAAAAAAGAGAAAGAAAATGATGCAAATTGGATCTGCCAGAAAGCGTGTGGGTTGACATTTGTGTAGAAATATATTCTGTTATTTTGATCATGACAAAGTTTGAAAAGATGTTATGTTTAACAAGGTTTATTTGCTTAGAAATATGGTAAGGGGTTTAGTTTGATGGCTTAAAATATATTAAATTTGTTTTTGGCAATTTTCCTCAAAAAATTTAAAGTTTTGCTCCAAAATTTTAAAGTTTTCTGTCTATCATAATTTTTGAAAACTTTTGTGTTGTTTTTTTTTATATATCGAAGTCTTTTTTCATTGTGCTTTCTTGTTTAAACTTTTTGAATTTGGCTTAAATAATTTGAAGTTACTTTGCCTCTGGTTTATTTTCTTTCAAAACTTTAAATTTTTGGGTTAAAACTTTGAAATTTTTGAGTTAGCCCCTAAAAAAGTTCAAAGTTTTGTGTAAAAACTTTCAAGTTATCTTGATATTTCATCTGTATACTTCAAAGTTTCCTTCTTTACTTTGAATTTTCTAAGCTTTAGTGCTTTTATCATTCAATATTTCAAAGCTTTGTTCAAAAACATCAAAATTTCCATGCTCTCTGATTCATTCTCTAAAGTACTTTGGTGTGCTTTCTCAAAACTCCAAAGTTTCCAAGCTTCTTGGATGGACCTCTTCAAACCTCGAAGTTTTCTTAAACTTCTCAACTAGTCTTCTCATGTTTTGAAGTTTTCTCCATTTGCTTTCAAAGTTTTTGTTGTATTGATAAGTGCATATTTTATAATTAAATAGGCATCGACATAAAGCTATAGGCTTTACTAAATGTAAATTCTAGATATTCAAAAGGAATAAAGTTAAAGGATGTGACTTTGATTGTACTAGACAATCAATTTTGGAATGACTATAAAATTATGGCCCAAATTGTTTCACCACTTATTCGATTATTAATAATTATTTATGATAATGAGAGAACTTCACTTGGGATGGATATGATAGCATGTATAAGGAAAGAAAAACTATAAAAAATATATTGATGAACAAAAAATCCTTGTACAAGCCTTTTACAAGGATTATCAAGAAATTGTTGAGTACTCAACTTTGATAGAAGCTTCATATGGCAACTTATTTCCTAAACCATGTATTCCTTTATGACAAACAGTCATTACTAACAAAATTAAGTTTGTGCGAGACAATATGTTGTATCAAGATAGAATTGATAGCTTTAATGATTCATTAGCCATTTTATCTATAAACACATTACGACTAAGTAAATTTTATACTCTCTTCATTCCACTTTAATACTTCTTACAGTTCTTGTTTACATTTATCTTTGGTGCTAAATTTTATAGATGAATGGCGGAAAATATTTGGAGATAGTGATCAAATGTTAAAAAAACAAGATCCTTAAGCTAGACTTCATCTTCATTTGGTTATGAAAGGCATTGGCATGTTTTTAAAAGAATACATTCTTAAAAAAGAAATATTTTAGAGCATCAAAGGTTAAATGACCTTATGTTTATTTGTTACAATTTTCATTTAAAAAATAGGTATATAATCTAATCATCATTGCTAAACTTTACTTCATAAGTTTAATTATGAGTTATTTACTTCTAATAATTTGGTATTGTTAATCACGGAAGATGAAGATCTTCTAGCCCTTAATTATGACGAGGTAGGAGAAGCCATACTTTATGATAATACGATAATTCCACAATTTTTTATCAATCAAAATAAATGTTTGATCTTTGATATTTTCTATTTAATCATGTTGTTTTTTTTACTTATATTATATGTTACTTGTTAATTTCAACAACTAATTTGTTACACTACCTAAAAAGGTAATAATAAAAAAAGAGGCAATAGGGTTCAAGCTAAGGCTGGATGTTCTATCATAAGAGGACTTGAGTTGGG